GGCTGAGCAGGGCTTCCCCAGCCTCCCTGCAAACCCCCACTCCCCCCGCTGTTCCCCGGCAACCTCCCCCCTTGCCGGACGCAGTGAGGGTCCCGGCAGACCCGTTACAGGGGCATACTCCCAACCCAATCCCCCTCCCCTCGCCTTCCCTTCCCTTCCCCAGAGCCAAACACCTACCCTCCCTGCTGTAACCCAGTCCCCTTTCTCCCCCAACCTTATGTCCCAGTCCCAACAGACACCACCGCTTGAAACACAACCCCCACCTTTTCCATTATTTTCAATGGGAAAATTGACCCCGCATAACATGTTTTCATTTAACACGATCATTTTCTGAAACATCTATAGGGTTAAATGAGGAATTACCGTATTCTCCAGTATCCCTTCTCCAAACACAGTCCCATGCTCCAAATCAGAGGGGGGCTGGCACCAGGAAGAAAGGGCAGGATTTCCTGCCACCTCTCAAACCAATCAGCACAGGATCCTCCCGCTTCTCTTGGCTCATCTCCCCCACCACTCGGGGTTGGAGACCCTGCTTGCACAGAACTGCTGCCGATCTGTGCAGTGTAATCACAGTAGGGCAACGCCATTGAGCAAAAATCAACACAACAGCTAGAGAATCAGTTCCAAGGAACCGGACTGGCATGAAGGGACATCCCAATACCTCATGACCATAAAGGCAATGCTTCCCTATTCTGCCCTTTCTGTTTTTGCTGCCCTAATGAAATACCTTTTGCGCTGGGTCTTCTGACAAGCTTAGGTGCAAGGAAGCCCTGCCATCTGCCTGAATCCAGAAGGTATAATTATTGGTCTCCGGTGCCACAAAGAATCCACGTAGTCGTGACCTAGGCAGCAGCAGAATATCTATGTCATACAATGCAGTGTCAGATCTCCAACAAACAGCGGGCTTCTCCCATTTACCAATGAGAAGAGAGGTGTGAAATATGTGTAACAACATGCAAACTGACTCAAATTCAAGGTTTTCTACAAGTTTGTAGGCACTCAAAATCTGATCAGATCAGGGAAAAGAATATTACGGTACACAATATTTCCAAGAAAAATAGACTCTTTTTTACAGCAGAATCCTCCCCATTGCCGAGTAGGAAAAGCAATCACATTGAAAACCTACACGAATTCAAGAGGCATGTGAAAATGACAGAAAGATGAAATTGTCAGTGGCTGAATACATCTACCAGGGATGATCTAGACTGTGCTTGGTCCTGACGTGAGGGCAGGGGATTGGACTTGGTGACCTCTCGAGGTCTCTTGCGGTTCTAGTATTCTATGATTCTATGAATCTCGAAAGGGTCAGTTCATGTTGAAGTTTTAGTTGGGGGGGTCCTGCTTTGAGGAGGGAGTGGGACTAGTGTCCTCTTGGGGTCTCTTCTAACCCTAATCTTCTATGTGCACCCCAAAATTCTAAGGGCCCTCTCCTCAGCAGGAGTAAATTGGCATTGCTCCATTCATTTGAAGCTATGCTGCTTCACACCAGATGAGGATCTGTGCCTGTTCCAGCCTATCGGCACACAACAATTCTTGGTTGTCAAGCTCCTCCCACACCACTCTGCCCTGGATTCTCCAAGCAGGGCAAGTCAGTGAGGTACGAAAAATATGGGATAAACCTTCCACTGCATTTTTTTGAATTTCAGAAGGACCTAAAAATCTATTTATTGTGTAAAATTTTGATTGGCATCCTCCACGCTTGTTACAAAGGACGGGGAGTTGCAACTGCTACTTCTTCCACTGCTAACGGTACATACCAAGCGAGACCATTCCCAGGGGGTTGTGGCCAGGACAAAAAAAAAGTGATGCATCTGTCACTTCTAGGACCGACAATGCCAGCCAATCACACCAGCCCGAGAGGCTCCTCAAAGCACAGACCCCAGAGCAGTCGCTCCAAGGCACTGTACCCTAGGGACAGCTCCTCTCCTGAGACCGCTAAATACCTGAAGGACTGCTGTTCTGGAGACAAAAACCCTTCTGGAGTGCTGGCATTAGGAACAATCTGCCATCTATACCCAAGGGCTGCTTCAGTTAAATTAGTGCCTGCTGCACCATCCCAGACTTCAAAGAGAAGCCCTCTGTTTCCTGGAAAGTTAAAAAGAAAAACAACAAGAATCTAGTCAGCAGCTGCTAACGGAGGGTCCCAGCTTGCAGGAGAATTAATAGCAAAACAATGAAAAAGCTGCAGGCCATAGTCCATGTGTGGCTGGATAATAACCTCTGACAAGAGATGTTTTGGGACCCATTAATGCAGAGCTGGGCAAAATATGGCCTGAAGGCCAGGTTCAGCCCACCAAGCCACTGGATCCAGAGCATGGACCACCCTGCCTGGACCCTCGGACACGCTCCTACCATGGTTTAAAGTGCAGTCCGTGCAGCTCTCTGCTCTGCAGGCAAGGGGAGGTTTTGTATGATCTCACAGCCCCAATCACAATCCCCAGCACCTATTGGCTGGAAACAACCAGCCAATAGGAGCTGAGAGTGGCCTAGGGAATGGGGGAAATGCAGGCCTCTTCCCCCTCCTGGAACTGAGCGCCACATGGCAGGAACAGCCTGCAGTTTCAAGCAGTCTGGGGCTGCAGCAGGCAGGGAGCCCTGCCTGCCTTGGGAGTGCTGCAGGGCTGCTGGCCAGGAGACTTAGGTAAGCACCTCCTAGCCAGAGCCTGCCTCTGGCACCCCTGCCCCTACTGCACCCCCAACTTCCTCCCCCTGGTCACCATCCAAACTCTCTGCACCCCCTTGCCCTAGGTCACAACTCCCTCCCAGACCCTGTACTCCATCCTACATTCCTCTCCCAAGCCAAAATCCTCTCCTACACCCAACACCCTCCCAGACCCTGCATCCCACTTCCCTGCCCCAGATCACCACTCAAACCCGCTGAAGTCTGAACCCAGTTCTTCCCTTCTCCCAAGTCACAATTTCCTCCCAGACTTTCCACCCCCTCCTAGAGCCTCTGCCCCAGGCCAGAATCCTCTCTTGTACCCATACTCTCTCCCTGACCCTACACCCCCTCTCAGACCTCACACCATTACCTGCACCCCAGTCCCTTACCCCAGGCAACCTCCATCCTAGACCCTGCATCTCCTCCACAGAAAAGTGTGGCCCTTGACCACTTTTCAAAAATCTTGGAGTAGCCCCCCGCCAAAAATCATTGCCCACCCCTGGATTAATGGTATCAATGTTCATTCCAAGCAAGGAATACTGGAGGGACAATGCCTTGATCAATAGAGTCCCCTCCAGAAAATAGAAGTATCAATGGTCTTCAGAGGATAGCGCCTCCAAAACTGCCCAACTAAGGCGGGATGGTTAGTATATTGAAGCGAAAGGAAAAATAATTGGGATAATTCTCAGGGAACTCCAAACAGGATCAGAATACAAAGACCTAGGGAAAATACACTAGAAATAAAGGAGACTTGTCAGGGGAAGGGGATATAACTCATGGATTTCAGGGACAAAACTGAGGACAGGTTAGTTCAGAGTTCCTAGGTTCAGATGTTACCCAGAAATCTCAAGCAGTCTGGGAAGTTTGGTCAGCAAACCCAGGAGAGATTACCCTGGTTCTGAAAACCCATGTGATGTGACCTCAGTAGGTTTTGGATAGCCCCATTTTTATTCATCCCATCACCACAGCCAGAAGGAAGTCTCTATCCCATTTCCAGATACTGCAGACCTCTTTGCCAATGAGAGCCTTTGCTCTTAGAAATACTTCACCTGCTTGGGGTGCGGTAAGTCTTCTGGTCTCATCCATGCATCCAGTGACGCAGCTAATCTTCTGGGGGGAATGGTGCTTGATTTCACAGAGAACGCCTGGCAGTGGGAAGAGGAGAAGTAGGCATATGGAGAACGAGGCTGGAGAACATTAACCCAGGCCTAAATTGTTTAAGGGATCAGCCCCCTTTTATTCCGAGAGATTAGTAGAGCTGCACTGAATCCCTTGCAAACAAAGCAACATCACATCAAACAGAGGGCTTATAGCTGTAGTCAATTACTCATTGAATTCACAGCAGTAAGGGCCTCTCACATGGAAAGTACCATGGTTCTTATGTCCATTACCATGGTACTGACCTGTATGTGTAGTCCCACTGACTTGGCTCAACTTCAGCAGCACTACTGGAGCAAGCACTACTGGAGAACCAGGCCCCAAGAGAGCTGGCTCCTCCGAAAACCTGTCCAACTGGGCACTCCATTGGTAGGATAGGTGAACCAAAGGCAGAATTTGGCCTGTGGTCTTTGTTCCATCACCATAGAGCTTAAAACTGATTTCTCCATTGTTACCTGCAACGGTGACCTGCACAGGCTGATCAAAGAAGTCTCCTGTGATCGTGAGATCACTTCCTCCTCCCAGACTTCCCAATACTGGAAACACAGATACTATCTCTACAGAGGAAAAAAAAGGACACTCAGGGCACATCTACACTACAGAGAAGATCGAAGCTGCCACTATCGATCTTCCAGGGTTCAAATTGGTGTGTCTAGCGAAGACATGCTAATTCCAACTGAGAGGAGCACTCGGGTTAATGCCGGTAACCCTGCTTCCACGAGGAATAAGGGAAGGAAGTGTTCTTCCTTCAACTTGAGGGGTAGCCGTGTTAGTCTGAATCTGCAAAAGCGACGAGGAGTCCTGTGGCACCTTATAGACTAACTGAAGTGTAGGAGCATAAGCTTTCGTGGGCAAAGACATGCATCTGACAAAGTGGGTCTTTGCCCACGAAAGCTTATGCTCCTACACTTCAGTTAGTCTATAAGGTGCCACAGGACTCCTCGTCGCTTTTGCAGATTCAGACTAACACGGCTACCCCTCTGATATGTAATTAACGTAGCTGAAGTTGAGTGTATTAATTCGACCTTATCCTACAGCGTAGCCATACCCTCTGAGAATGGAGCTAGCTAACAACCACATGAATCTGGAAAGGTCTATACCACTCCTGCTTCTATTGAAACTAACAGCAACGCATGCACTGACCTCAGGGTAGCAGGTGCTGAGAATCTAAATGATCTGAATTCATCACTAGCCTGAATTCATCCAGGAAGCTAGTGGAATTACAGTAAGGATCAATTGGATCCTACATGTATAGCTCAGCAAAAGGACAATGTATGGAGGGATATGATAACTCTTACAAGCTGGTATAATTCACATGGGGTATGTCTACACTGCATTCCTCTTTCGAGAGATGAATGCAAATACAGCTGGGCAAAATTGCAAATGAAGCGCTGATTTGCATTTCCCGTGCTTCATTTGCATGATCGCATCCAGCCGCTTTTTCAAAATACCCTATTTAGAAAAAAGGAATGCTGTCTAGACACGGTTATTTCAAAAGAAAAACCTTATTTCAAAATTCCCCTTACTCCTTATAAAATGAGCTTTAAGGGTAATTTCGAAAGAAGGTTTTCTTTCAAAATAACTGCGTCTAGACAGCGTTTCTTTTTTTTTTAAATAGAATATTTTGAAAAAGCGGCCGGATGCGATGATGCAAATGAAGCACAGGAAATTCAAATCAGTGTTTCATTTGCAATTTCACTCAGCTGCATTTGCATTCTTCTCTCAAAAGGGGAATGCAGTGTAGACATACCCATGTTGAGCAAGCCAGAAGCAGGTGAAATGGAACTATTTTAGACTGTCGGGTTTGCCTCTAAATTTAACCCACAGATATGACTGTTGTTCAACTTTCTGTTGGCAGTGTTGTTATAGCTATATGAGTCCCAGGATGCATGAGAGTGCCACGGTGGGTGATCCCAGATCTGAAGAAGAGTTCCGTGTCAACTTGAAAGCTTCTCTTTCACCAGCAGAAGTTGGTCCAATGAGATTATCTCATCCACTGTTCTCCCTAATTGAATTTTCTAACAATTGAATATGATGCTGTTAATTTTGAATGTTTAGGACCAAATCTTGAGAGGCGCTGAGCCTCTGCAGTTGCCAATGATGTAATTGGAAGTTGTGGACAGACAGATTTGATCATTACTCTCTTTTTGCCTGGACAAATGGGTTATTTTTCCACTAGATGGCAGCATGGCTGTGAAGTATTTATTGTATGTAGTTACACGGGGCTGCAACTGCAATTCTAAACACCAAATCACTCTTTCATAATCCTTTAAATGGGGTATTCAGAGAGATTATTTTAGCTTTCCCAAGTCTATAACTTTCTAATCCATCCATTTAAGGGACATATTAATCTTCCAGCAGTCAAAAGGCTCCTTCTAACCCTTTGAACTAAGTCACATCACTACATGTGCACATCACAAATCACCTACCCATTAATTACAATCAGTGGGAAGATCAGATCTTAGAGGGAAAGACATAGCATTCAGCCCTGAAACATGTTCAGTCTGGATGAGCCAAATGGTCTTTTCTAACATTTTTGCCATCTATAACAGCAATCAAAGCCAAGTGCTTTATCGTCCATGAAACTTAAACCTGTGGTTGTACTTTGCGTTTTAGACACAGGCTCTTTTTGAATACCATTCGTTCGCCATGACAACAGCTACTGAGAATTTAACCTTCTAGTGTCTAGAGAGCTGGGACATGTGTGGCACTTTATGCAATACTGTGATTTACTCAATACAACGCAAGACAATACCACAGCAGTCTGAGGGTGTGTCTAAACTACATGGCTCCAACGATGGAGCACTGTAGATTAGGCTGATCGGCAAAGGGAAATGAAGCCACGATTTAAATAATCGTGGCTTCATTTAAATTTAAATGGCTGCCACGCTGAGCCAACAAACTGCTGATCAGCTGTTTGTCGGCTCAGCGCGCTAGTCTGGACGCTCCCGCGCCAACTTGAAAGCCCTTTATCGACCTCCCTGTTATGCCTCGTAGGATGAGGTTTACCAGGGAGGTCGATAAAGGACATTCATGTCTGCAGGGGAGCGTCCAGACTAGCGCGCTGAGCCGACAAACAGCTGTTCAGCTGTTTGTTGGCTCAGCGCGGCAGCCATTTAAATTTAAATGAAGCCGCGATTATTTAAATCACGGCTTCATTTCCCTTTGCTGAACAAACAAATCTACATGGCTCCATCGACGGAGCCATGTAGTTTAGACATACCCTGATATACCTGCACCCAGCACTTAAATTTCAGTGTGAGAGTCAATATAATCAGCTACAGCCACTCCAGGAGTTACGAACTAGTTACGGACCAACACTTGGTCCATAACTCGAAGTGTTCGTAACTCAGATCCCATAGAGTTACATGGCAACCGCGCTGTTCGTAAGCGCAGATCGCCGTTCATAACTCGGATCCACATTTACGACTGCTTTGGTCGTAAGTGCGGATGATCGTAAGTGGAGGTGGTCGTAACTTGGGGAGCGGCTGTAGTAGCTTTCAAAGTAATTTTCAGCTGATTGGTCCCATCCAAAGCCCTCTGCATGTTGGAGACCTCCACTCTGACAACTTCAGTAGGATTTGAGGGGGTCAAGCAGGGTCAGGCATTTAGTGTGGGTCCGGCAGGAAAAACGGTGACATTGATTGATCATTACTCCATCTCCAGACCTGTTGATTCTCCCATGGTTCTGCTCAATGCTCATTAGATATTTCAGAGCCACTCATGATGGGAAGCTGGAGCCAAAGGGCACGTCTACATGAAGGCCCTTCACAGAGCAGGCAGCCTGACACTAAAAAGAGCAGTGTGGTTCCAATAGCAGGAGCTCTGGCTCAGGCGAATGCCTCTCCATTCTTAGGGGACTAAACCGAGGTGCAGCCCATCACGCCCAGCCACACAGTGTGCTAGCAGAAGCAGAGTGATGGCTGGTCTGTCTGTGCTGGAAGGACATGCCTCTGGGTATGTCTTCACTGCAATACAACTCTTGTGTCTGGTCAGATCTGATTACTTGGGCTGCAAGGTTATAACATTGCTGTGTAGGTGTTCAGGTTGGAGCTTGGGTTCTCAAGCCCCACAAAGGGAGAGGGTCTCAGAGCCCCGGATTAAGCCCAAGTCCCAATCTTTATGCCCTGTAGCTTGAACTGAGTGAGCCCACGCCCGATGAACCAGGGTGTTTTATCGCCATGTAGACATACCCTGAGGTCACGTCTCCACTTCCAGCATGGAGACCGATCTTCTGGCATTTGATTTTGTGGGTCTACTTAAGACCCGCTAAATCAAATACCGAGGGAAGCTCCAATTGGCACCGATACTCCTTGCCAGGGGTGGATATAGGGCAGGGCGAACGGGTGGCCTCCCCGGGCCCCGCGCTTCCGAAAGCCCCGCGCATGCGCCGTGGCGCCACTGCACATGCGCATGGCGTCACTGCACATGTGCCGTGGCAAAGGGGGGCCCCGCGGAATTATGCTGCCCGGGGCCCCGCAAAACGGTCATCTGCCCCTGCTCCTTGCAGTTGCGAGGAGTAAGGGAAGCCGATGGGAGCATTTGCTCCCATCAGCCTCCATCTGTGAAGATAGCACCAAACTTGGCTTAAGGTAAGCTGACTCCAGCTACATATTTTACATAGCTGGAGTTGTCCACCTTAACCCAACCTTCCAGGTCCAATGTAACCCTGGCCTGAGTGATAAGGCCCTCTCACTGAGAGTTGAACTCAGCATGCAATGAAAGCAGGCATGAACAGGATATCTGGTTATCTCCCAATCTTCACTCATAGGAAAACAGAGGGCTAGATTTTGTATCTCATCTTGAGAACCCCTTTGTGCTCTCTGTTTATAAGGGAGAAACTCCCATTGAATTCAAAGGGAAATGCACACATGGACTGAAGGCACAATAACATTGGGAAGACTAAAAGAAAGATTTTCTTCCTAGGCTTCATAGGACAGGGCAATCATTGGGACAGCAAAGTACAGCACCTGAGTATGTTTGATACATGAAAAGCTCCTGTTTGGCACTGATGAGCCAAGCATCCTTGTGTACCATCGACCTGCAACATAAGAGAAAGGCCTGTAAAACTCCTTGGAATTTGAGCTGGGAGTGGATCTCCCCAGTGGCGCTGAAGGGAAAATCTCAGATTAAACACAGGGGAAAAAAAGATAATTATTTTAGGATACCAAATGATACTTCTCACCCCGTGTTCACTGAAGCATCAGAATTAGACCTGGTCAAAATGCTTCAGTTGAAAAATGTTGCCATCAAAAGAGGCAGGTTTGTCAAAATTTGACAAAGATGTAAAGGTACATCTACACAGCAGTGTTATTCCGAAATAACAAACGTTATTCCATAATAACATAGTGTGTGTCTACACTACAAGCCTTTATTTCGAAATAATGTCGAGCTGGAGGACTTACTCTGACTCCTGTAACCCTCATTTCACAAGGAGTAAGGGGAGTCAAAGGAAAAGTGTTCTTCTCTTGACTTCCTGCTGTGAAGACAGCACCAAAAACTGAGTTAAGCTATTTCAGCTTCAGCTATGCAATTGATGTAGCTGAAGTTGAGTAGCTTAATTTGACTTTACCCCTCTGTGTAGTCATGACGTAAGAGAAATAAACATCCGCAAGTCACTCAGGGTGTGTCTACATCCTGGGCTTTACTCAAAATAAGATACGCAAATTGAGCCACATCAATTGCGTAGCTTATTTAGAAATAGCTTATTTCAAAACTGGGAGCATCTACACAGCACTTATTTCTAAATAGAGCACTCTTCCTGACTTCCCTTATTCCTGTTACAATGAAGGCTACAGGAGTCAGAGTAAGAAGTCCTCCAGCTTGATAATATTTCAACATTATTTTGAAATAATTTCCAGCTGTGTAGATGCAGACTAAATTATTTTGAAATAACGCTAGTTATTTTGAAATAATGGTGCGGTGTGTGACGTACCTTCAGTCACCCGGCAAGTATAGAAGATTTGTGATCGGGGACATCTAACAGATACCCCTGTTCTGTGCATTTAAACATGGCAAGAAGGCCATTCTCTAATGGGAACTTTCTTCCCTTTGCCATCCTCAGATCTGATGATCAGTTCATCCCTTCAAAACAGCAAATGGCCATGGCTAGGTGAACATATATGCCAGTTCTATAAAATGTATCCAGGTACTCTTTCTGGACCCATAAGTGTAGTCATGCTACGTTAGGATACAAGAAAGGAACAAGGCAACATTTCTCTTACTCACTTTCCTTTGTTAAACACTGAAAAGCTAACGTTCTGCGAACCTGTGGGAAGAGAAAACACTGAGTTACTGCAGAAACATGGGGGAGTCTGCATAAAGAGCACAAAATGTCAAGACTAGTGCCAACGCTATGGACATCCTTCTCCTTTCTTCACTGGCTTGACCTCAGTGTATCACCATTGACTTCAGAGAAGCTAGAAGCTGTTCTGATTTACAGTGGCAAAATGTATCAATTGGCAATGCCATGAGATGGCATAGAAACCCTAAGGACCACACCCAAAAAACCCATTGGAGTGGTCACAGCTACACCGTCTCCAGCTGACACAGGAGCACGCTACATTATTATTATGGGAGCATCTAGAGACACCAGCGGAGATCAGGTGCCTGTTGAGCCAGGCAGTGTCGGAGTCAGGGAAAATGAGGCCCACAAAAAACTTCAGAGTAACTCTCTCAAAAGCCCCCAAGGCCTATTTTCCAACGTGACCAAGGCCGATAAGACGCGTAAATCTCACTGAAAGGGATTTAGGTTCCTACATCCCTTTTAAAAACATGATTTAGGCACTTTCAAAAATGCCACCAAAAGTGGCTGCCCACAATCTCCCAGCCGGTCAGTAGCACAGCGAGGTCTCTAGAATCCCAGTCCAGTGCCTTAGGTATGAGACTTAAATAACTCTGGACTTCCATCCGGGCAAACCCTTGGACACTGGGAATCATGTGAGGCAGCTTTCCCTCCAACTTTCTCCTGGGAATGGCCTATCAAAGGCCTGCAACTCACATGACAAGCAAAACGGCCCCTTCACAGCCCTAGTGAAGTGAATCAATGAGCAAGTGACACACTGAGCCAACCATCATCATCAAAACTCAGCTACTCCAGAGACAAGGACAGACACATTTTTTTAGACAGGGAACCTGTGCGTCTCCAGCCCTGGTCTACATTTGGCAGCTATTTCACAACAACCCCCCTTATTTAGAAACAGGTTAGAGGTTTTTTTGAAATCTGTATTCCTGCTTTCCTCGGGGAATAATGCTTATTTCAAAATAGATATTTCGTAATAGTGAAATAGCGTAGACACTTATTTCAAAATAAGTACTCCCCAGAGTAATTTGAAATAATTACTCCTCAGTGCTTCCTCGGGCTCTAAGTCGAGGGAGCATATCCATATTCATGGAGCCTGCCTCGATCTAATTTTGAGGCTCCCCCATAAGGAGACACGCTATTATTTCCGGAGTTGTTATTTTGAAATAACTCCCTAGTGTAGACATGCCCCCAGTTAGCTATGGGGAGGAAAGTTATCCTGTAAACCAGTGGTCACCAACCAGTAGTTCAGGATCTATTGGTAGATCTTTGAACCTCTGACAGGTGATCCTGAGAAGTTTGGCACGGAGACTATCAAGTGCCAGCACTTCATCTGCGCTCTGCCTTGGAAGTGCCCCTTACCCCTGGGAGCCTTCTGCTTGCTGGGCAGGGCACAGGAAGATGAAGAGGGGGTGCTGATGTCAGGGTGCCCCTCCCTCGACCCTGTACCCCATCGCCACAGAGCAGAGGTGGGCAGGGATGGACAGAGTTTGCTGGATGTTTTGGTAGTGGTGCAGGGCCAGGGTAGGAGTGAGCCTGCCTTAGCCCCCTGCACCGCCACCCAGAAGCTACCTGTGGTAAGCAGTGCCCAGATGGAGCTCGCATTCCAAACCCAGGCCCCAGTCCTGAACCCCAAGCCCCTGCCCCCAGCCTGATAAAAGCAAGTGAGATGAGGGAGGGAGGATGGAGTGAGTAGGGGTGGGACCTCAGAGAAGAGGCGGGAAGGAGGCGGGGCAAGGATGTTGGGTTTGAGGTAGATCCTGGATTGCACTTAAAGTCAAAAAGTGATCTCGTGCTTAAAAAGGTTGGAGACCCCTGCTGTAAAGAGAGGCAAAGGTCAAAAACCGGACCAGGGAGGGAAATGTGTACAATAGTCACTGGGTTACAATCATAAGCCCAAGGTCGGAAAGGGCAGGACCATTCCAGGGCCTTATTCCCCACATTGGGGTTCCGATGGGACAGCTGTGTACCCAGGGATATTTTATTCATCAGGCCACCTTTCAAGGCAAAGACCAGAACTGTAGGTGCATCCTGGGTTCTCCTCTTTCCCACTGACCGATATAGTTGCCTTCTACACGGCACTGTAAGGTCCCTGTTCCACGATCCATCTGAATGGGGTAGCTGTAAAGAGAGAGAATTGTGCTGCCTTTAGAAAGGAAAGGGAGCACCAGGAAAACACAGACGTACCTCTCCAAACAATACACAGCTTGTCCTGCACCCCAGGCCTTGATCCTGGAAAGGTGCTTGGACCCTCAGCTTAAATGGGAGGGAGGTGAGGGCACATCCAAATAGCTTCTCACAAGACTGGGTCACTGGAGAAGGTGCACAGGAGCCATGTGGGGAAGAGGTACAGTCCTGAGGCTGCTGTGACACAGAAAATTCTGCCCACAAGCAAGTCTATGCCTCAAAGGAAGCCAGGGTTCAAACTCAGGTGAAGCCTAGCCTCTCTCCCATCTACACACAAGTCACACTAAGGCAGGGGTTGGACTCAGGGTCCCCAGACCTCACAGGGGTGGAAGGTTCAAGCCTGAATCAAGCTGGGAAACCAGACTCAAGCCCTATTGCTGAACAGTTATAGACGCAGCCGCACTGGACTCATGCTCTGAGAGTCCCACAGTCTGACTTTCTTTATCCTCTGGAAAGTCATATTCGGTGGACAGCCAAGTGTTTCCACACTACCATTAATAGAGGGCTAGAGTGGCCACATTTTGGGAGGGCACTGAGCCATCTGGACTATAGGTGGCTGGACTTGGGCCTGAATAATACAATATAGACACTGGAGCCACAAGTTGGGATGGGACCCACAATTCAACAAGTCCTAGCCTAGTGTGTAGATACTCAAGCCCCAAGTTAACAAACCCATTGACTAACTCAGTTTCAACTAACCCTGGGGCTTACACTGCAGAGCAGACATACCCTCTATGGCCCCAACAGTGGCTTAAAGATGGACTTTGGCTGAAAATCCACCCTTGCCCACAAGGGGTGCTCAGGAGACAGTGGACTCTGATTACTGACCAAATCACAGAAACAGAGAAATGGAGAATCAGGTTCCATGTGTCTTGAAGCAAGTGAAACCTGCCCATTGTAGCATGACCAGAGCAGCACTCTCTGGGAATGTCTAGACTGCGAGGATCTATCGGAAAAAGATACGCAAAATGCGCTCTGAATTTTGCAAAACTTTTTTCAGAAGAGGCTTTTTGGAAATTTGGCCTGTCTACACTGGGCCAATTTTGGGAAAAACCCTCTTTCGAAAGCCCCCTTCTTCCTCATGGAATGAGGAATACAGGAGTTTCTGAAGGAGCGCATTTGCTCTTCCGCTTTTCTTTGCGGAGGAGTTTTTTTCGGGAGACCTCTGATATCCTGAAAACACCCAGCAGTCTAGCCGTGCCCTCAGCGGGGTGGCTATAGATTGCTAGCAGGCAGGCTAAGAATGTTGTTAATGTTGAAACTGCTTTGAAAAAAATCAATGATGCCAAGGCTAGGTTGGTAAAAGTTTAAACCAAGTTTTGACAAGCTGCTTAAGCAGCTTGGCTCTGCCATTCCCATATTTCAAACAAAGACCTTTTCATCCACAGCAGAGAGGAATGTGTTATTCAGAGGAACTGAGATAGTTTGTATTTGGCTTACGCAAACAGAAATGACACTGTCAGGAGCTGTTGTCCCTAGGGGGCATAAAAACTTCCCCTCCCCTGGACGTTTCCCCATTACTCTGCACTTGGTCACTTACAACTGTACTTGAAGTGCACAAAGATATTTCCAGCCTCTGTGTTTTTAAGAGCCCGATCTCCATCTGCAAAGAATGCCTGCTTAGCACAGCTGGCCTTCTCCAAACTGGGAGTTTAGCCACCTGTGTAGCTGCACTAGTACAACCCCCTAGGGTGCTGTGTTGGTCTACAACTTGTACTGGTGCAGCTGTCCACAATTTAACCCACACAGGCTGTGTCCAGACTCAGGGGTTTTTTCGGGAAAAGTAGCCTTTTTCCGAAAAAACTTCCCCTGCATCCAGACTCAATCCGCATTCTTTCGAAATTAAATCGAAAGAACGCGGCTTTTCTTTCGATGGCAGTAAACCTCATTTCACGAGGAAGAACGCCTTCTTTCGAAAGTTCCTCTTTCGAAAGAAGGCGTTCTTCAATGTAAATAGGGCTTCTTCAAAAGAGAGCATCCAGACTCACTGGATGCTTTCTTTCGAAAAAGCAAGCCGCTTTTTCGAAAGTTCAACGTGCAGTCTAGACGCTCTCTTTCGAAAGAGGCTTGCAGTCTAGACATAGCCACAGAGGCGAACCTGGCCTCATATTGTTTAACTGCTTCTAATGCTGGGGCTTTGCAATAATCCCCAGGGCAATATGGCCTAAATCATTTTGTCATCTCTGCCAATCTTTAGGCCAGGTCTACACTAGACCCGGAAGCTTGGCTTAAGGTACGCAACTCCAGCTATGTAGGATATATAGCTGGCGTCGGCTTATCTTAAGCTGAGCTTGGCAGTGTCCCAACAGTGGGAGGCCACAAAAACAAATGCTCTGTCAGCGTCCCTTACTCCTGGCAGGAGTACTGGACGTGGGTGTACTCAGAGTTTGATTTAGCGAGTCTTAACTAGACCTGCTAAATCAAACTCCAGAAGGTCGAGCCATCTTCCGCAGCGTGTAGACATGTAAGTATGCTATTGGTGCCAGTGGGATGGGTCTGTTCTGCCAGCCAAAGCATCCTGAGGAGTGCTGTGCATTCCAGCTCTACCCACTGTCTGGCCTCTGCTCACTCCTAATGCACCTCCCATACTGTGGAGTGGGTAGCGCAAAGGTCACTCTGTGGCATGATGCCAGCCCACTCCCATGGCATAAAGGGGCTTTGACTGTCAGGAACTATGGGCTAGAGTTCTCTGACCTGAGCGTAGGGCTAGCCTGCTCAGCCCTCAGGCCAGTTCATGAGACCAGTTGAGCTGCAGCAGAATCACCTGATTGGCAGCCGGCCAGCTGGCTGCCAGAAACCCACAGGTCTACATTTAAATGCACCAGCAAGGGCAGGTTGTTGGCTGCTCCACACTTTAACACACAGCTGCAATCTCCCCTGTGTTTCCCATTGTTCCCTGCCTTGCTCTGATCCCATTCCAGGCCTGCTACCTTGCTTGGTTCCTGAACCAGTTTCCTAGTTCCTGTAACCCACTTTAATCATTAGGACAGACTCCAGCTCTAACCATAGGAAAGATCGCCCACATCCCCGACACTGACCAAGGACTATGGAATCAGTCTCTCATCTTTTGTTTAGCGCACATTTCCTAGTGTAGTGCCAACAGATGGGAATAAACCTCCTCTGAAGCTTAGGGCATGAGCCTCCACCACATGAGTGAAAAGCCAGCTGGCTCTCAGCTAAGGCTGTAGAGCAGACTCATTCTTTCTCTCTGTAAGTGGTCTAAGTGCCACTACATAGGACAGTGAATCACACTCAGTAGGTATGTTGGTTACACTGACATGACACTTGGTTCTAATCTTTGCCAAACCAAGTACAAGGGACAAATTTTCCAGCCAAAGATGCAAAAACAATATGTCCCATTGAAAAGTGACAATTTCAAGAAGGTTGACACTGGAAATTGTCAAAACGAACTGTTTCAACTTCGATATATTAAAATATTAATGTTACTATATGTATGCATATTGCATTCATCAACATACATATTGTCATCAGTATTTTGTATTATAAAATGTTGACACTATCAAAATGACCCGATCTAATTTTTCCTGAATTTCCATTCTGTGAGAAATTTAAACTTTTTTGTTCTGATTTCAAACACATGCAAAATTTGGAACGGGCAGAGTTTCCTGCAGCTCTAGTTAAGTATGCTATTGGCTAACAGAGCATAAGAAAACCAGAACTTAGAACTTCTTATCTCTGGTAATCTAACAAGATGCAAGCAATAATGAAAAAGATGACATTCAATAAAAAGCCAGGGTATCGGACTTCACTTAGGAAGGAAAGATCAAATGCACCGCTAAAATCTGGGGAATAAGCAGCTAGGTGCTGAAAAGGATCTGGTGACTAGAATGGATCACAAACTGTGTGGATCACAATAATGTGATGCAGTTGTGAAAAAGGCTGAATATTCTGGAGTATAGTAAAAGGAGTGTTGTAAGAAAGACACACGAAGTAAGAGTCCAGTTACACTCAGTCATGATGGGACCTCTTTAGAGAAGAGTGTCTAGTTCTGGGTGCTTTGCTGTAGGAAAGATGGGGACAAACTGGAGAGAGTCTAGACAAGAGCAACAAGACTGATAAAAGTTCTAGAAAACCTGACCCAAAAGTTGAAGATACTAGGCATGTTTAGTTTCAACAAACACGACTGAGCAGGGATCTGATAACAGTCTATAAATATGTTAAGGGCTGCTGTAAAGAGGACTGATCTATTGCTCTCTGTGCCCTGGTCTACACTAGGCCTTTGTTTCAAAATAACCCCTCTTTGATCGAATTAATAAGGGAAGCATCCACACTATCAAGCTAACAGGTTGCTTATTTCAAAATCTGTACACCTGCTTTCCTCGGGGAATAACGCTAATTCCGAAATAGTTATTTCGAAATAGCAGTAGTGGGGATGCTCCAATGCCACTATTTCGAAATAACTGCTCCCCAGAGTAATTCAAACTAATTACTCCCCAGTGCTTCCTGGGTCTCTAAGAGTGTGTCTAGACTACTGAGTTTTGTCGACAAAAGTGGACTTTTGTCGACAAAACTATACCTGCGTCTACACTACCGCTGAGTTCTGTCAACATAACGTCGACAGAAGTCAGCAGTTTTGTCGATGCTGGTAAACCTCATTTTACGAGGCATAACACCTTCTGTCGACAGAGTTCTGTCGACAGAAGGTGTTATTGCATGTAGGGTTGTGTCTAGACTACAGGGTTTTGTCGACAAAGCAGCTTGCTTTGTCGACAGAACTGAATGTGTCTAGACGCTCTTTGCAGACAGAAGTTTTGTCGACAGATACTGTCGACAAAACTTCTGTCGACAAAACCCTGTAGTCTAGACGTACCCAAAGTTGAGGTAGCGCATCCATGTTCATGGAGCCTGACTTTGACTAATTTTGAGACTTTTTCGTAGTGAGGACACGCTATTTTGACTGTTATTTCGGGAGTTATTAAATCGATTTTAGTTATTTTGAAATAATTTCCTAGTGTAGACATTCCCTGTGTCTGCTGAAGGCAGAACAAGAAGAAATCAGCTTATTCTGCAGCAAGGGAGAGTTAGCTGAGATATTAGGAGAAGCTTTCTACTATGAGCACAGTGAAGTTCTGGAAGATGTTTCCAAGTGAGGTTATGAAATCCCTATTACGGGAGGTTTTTAAGAATAGGTTTGTACAAACACCGGTCGGGGACTGTGTAGATTTAGTTGGGGGCTGGACTCAATAACTTCAAAGCTCCCTTTTACCCTTACATTTCTATGAAAATCAGCAACCCAGAATCACACACACACTCCAACATTTTACCAAACATGCTGGCTACATCTAGACTGGCATGATTTTCTGGAAATGCTTTTAACAGAAAAGTTTTCCGTTAAAAGCATTTTCAGAAAAGTGCATCTAGATTGGTAGGACGCTTTTCCGCAAAAGCACTTTCTGCGGAAAAGCGTCTTTGGCCAATCTAGACGCGCTTTTCCGCAAAAAAGCCCTGATCACCATTTTCGCGATCGGGGCTTTTTTGCGGAAAACAAATCTCTGCTGTCTACACTGGCCCTTTTGCACAAAAGTTTTGCACAAAAGGAACTTTTTCCCGAACGGGAGCAGCATAGTATTTCCGCAAAAAGCACTGATTTCTTACAGTAGGAAGTCAGTGATTTTGCGGAAATTCAAGTGGCCAGTGTAGACAGCTGGCAAGTTTTTCCAGAAAAGCGGCTGATTTTCCGGAAAAACTGGTCAGTCTAGACAGAGCCGCTGACTTTAAGAGCCACTCTAAACTGTGACAAAGCACCTGCCTCTTGTTACCATAACCCAGATGAAGGGGAGGCAGATGCTTCCTAACCGTGTGAGGGGGACATCACCAGCACTTGAACAGTGATCCCAACCCTAGCTCCACCCCTTCCCCAAGACCCCAGCCTCGTGGCACTCCTTCCCCCAAGATCCTGCTCCTGAATCACCTCTTCCTCTCAAGACCCCCTCCCAGCTCTCTTTTCTCCTCCCATTCCTCCCCCTCCTGGCAGAGAAAAAATGGTTGAGCCATGGCCCCTGCTCCCAGCACCCCGTTCCAGTGCTCTTCCCAGATGAACAGATGACCCTCCACAATCAGGCATATTGAGTTCTCAGAGCAGTGTGAAGCTGTAGCTACAGCCTAAAGGCAAAAGGAAGGGCATAGACTAACATGCTTCTAGTTCGCCTGTTGGCAAAAGAACAAAGGCTGATCCATCCGTCTCCTTCCGCCTCGAGGATAACAGGGCTAGATAGGAAACAAACAGGAAAGATATGAGATTAGGGGAAGCCATAAGTCCTAGGGTGACATTTTAGACCTAAGTCGCTAGCCAAATGCCCACTGTATTGTGGAACTAGAGGTTGAACCTCTCTGGTCCGGCAACATCTGTGGTCTGGCAGGACCACAGATGTTGCCGGACCACAGAGCTCCAGGATCCCAGCGGCAGGGAACTGGAGAGGCCCTGGGGGAGCAGAGCTGCAGCGGCACCAGGGCTGGGAGTGGAGGCGGGAGGTAAGAGAGCACCCCTGGGCTGCTCAGAGACCCCAGAGAAACCCAGAGTCTGTCAGCAGAGGAGCCAGAATGGACCTCCCCTGGTCCAGCAAACTCCAGGGAGAGCCAACCTGTACTTGACTTAACATCACTGGAAAGCTGTGTCCCGAACACCTCATGGGACATGCAGAACTCTGGCAAAACTGAGGAGCCCTTGCCTCATTCACTGAGTTTTTTACAAGATCCATACAAATGAGGCAAGAGCTATGAGAAACCTTACTCCCCTCACTGCACATACTCACATAAAGTGACCCTAGTGTTTCTATAAAACTAGAGGCTGAATCTATTCCATCTGCTCAGGTTTCTCAAGTAAGCTCACCAGTGTTTTGAGCATATGTTGTACATACTGAAACCAACATTGCAGTGGAGGGTACCAACACACCGAAGATACGCTGAATCACATTCCAACTTTCCATACCATTAACCAAAGCCCTTGCCGTTCCCATTCAAAAGGGGTGAAAGAATAACTGATCTTGAACAAGATCCTGTTAATCAGTACCCAGAGGCTAGGACTGTTGACTCTGGCTCAGCTAGTATAAATCAGTGCCAATCCATTGACTTATGATTTACACCATCTGGGGATTTGGTGTAATCAGAAAATTTACTAAGCTGCAGCAGAGCTGAAACCCATCAGAATGTTGCCTCCCAATACAGCAAATTCTGAGGCTTCAGACACTGGTGAATAAAACACACAAGGCAAATGTGCAATGGGAGAATATTTCTTCCTGACCACTGGGATGATCAGTGAAACCCCTGAAGCATGAAGTTTGATTATCCTTTTCCCTCACATCAAGTACGACATTAACAAATACTGTAAAGTAACTGTAGACCCTCTGGGTCCCAATTTTACACAGCCTGGCACAGCCACACATACATGAGCCAATTCAGAATCCTCCAGCCATTCATCCTAGTGATAGTAGATTATACCCACTTTGGGCTCGCTGGGCCCTCCATCTTGTGCGAACATTTGTACCAATGCAGAGTCAGAATAGTAGCATTTTATGTCCACCTCACACTGGTGCAAAGGATCACGCATGCAACAGGGCAATGGAAAAATCAAGGTGTCACTCTTTGGAAGTGGAAGTGACTATGAAGCTCTGGGAAATGGAGAGTAATGCACATGGCACAGACTCTCAAGGTATTCAGGCATCTAGCTTCTGGAGTTTTCAGTGGAAACTAAGAGCTTAATACCTCTGAGAATCTGACCCACTGTTTCTCAGGAATTGTGCTTTTAATTTTCTTGGCAAATGGAAAGTTCTCTCCCCAACCAAGCTAACAGAACTTCTAAAAATGCAATTGGATGAGAAAATGTATTAACTTCTAGTTTTCTACATTTTAAATTAGTTTGTTTTAATTCGTAAACCAAAATAAAACCTCTAACAACCCGATGCAATTACAGTACAATTCACACTGAGCCACAATTGACTGTGCCACTACTCAATAAACAGACTAGCTTAATGAACCAGTTGCAATTAGATTAACAAAGTTTGCTGGAGCCCAACTCATGAGCTTCAATAAACCCCAACAAAAGGCAACTGGCAGTTCTGTGCCAAATGGTTGCAATTTATTGATGTCAAGGAGGATGGTCAAAGAAAGAAATTCAAAAAACAAACAAAAAAACCCTACACATGGACAGAATCAGATTTTTAATGTGCATAGTTACCCATCAATATAGTCAATCTTAAAGTCAATGCTTTCGTATCTTCCAGCAATGATATGTCCACTGACTTGTATCACATTTCCTGTTTAAATGAGGAAGAAAATAAAAGGGTTATTTTGGAAGCAATATGCTAATGTTTATGGAGTAAGGCAGCTGGCAAAATGGGGGTGAAGAAGCAGGTTTACCAACAGGTATTTAATCATTATTATTTGTCTTAAAGTGTCTAGAAGTTCCAGTTATGGACCATTGTGCTAGGTGCTGTACAAATACAGAACAAAGACAGTCCCTGCCCATCATGGCTGTGTCTAGACTGGCCAGTTTTTCTGGAAAATCAGCCGCTTTTCCGAAAAATTTGACATCTGTCTACACTGGCTGCTTGAATTTCCGCAAAAGCACTGACTTCCTACTGTAAGAAATCAGTGCTTTTTGCAGAAATACTATGCTGCTCCCATTCGGGCAAAAGTCCCTTTTGCGCAAAACTTTTGCGCAAAAGGGCCAGTGGAGACAGCTGAGATTTGTTTTCCGCAAAAAAGCCCCGATTGCGAAAATGGCGATCGGGGTTTTTTGGCGGAAAAGCGCGTCTAGATTGGCCATGGACACTTTTCCACAAAAAGTGCTTTTGCGGAAAAGCATCCTACCAATCTAGACGCTCTGTTCCGAAAATGCTTTTAATGAAAAACTTTTCCGTTAAAAGCATTTCCGGAAAATCATGCCAGTCGAGACGTAGCCCATGAGTTTACAATCTAAGTAAAAGACAAGAAACAACAGACAGATACAGACAGGGAGTGCAAGGAAACAACACAGGTGCTCGGTGGGATCTACAAAAGTGTTTCAGCTGGCATGGCACCTAACTCCCATTGGGAGACAATGGGAGTCAGCCTCTTCACCCACTGAACTGAAAAAAATGTATTTTTGATTTTAAACAGAGAATCTCAATTTCAGGGTTTTCCAAACAGACACCAACAATTTCTGGCAAAATAAAAAAATAAAAAAATAAATAAATAAAAAAACACATTCTTCTAACGTTTCCACTAGTTTTAAAAAAAGTGTGTAATTACCCAATCAGCTTTACTGCTGAGTCATTTTAGTTAGCCAAATAGCATCTTCTGGGCATTTTTTATTTTGGAGACCCGAGAGTGCTTTTATATTAATTACAGCCACGAGTCAGGCTAACACTTAACCACATTTAACTTTAAGCTGATGCGTAGCCCCGTCATTGTTCAGGAAAGCATGTAAACCCCTGCTTCCCTTTCGGCTTGTGCATTTCCACGAGACCATTTGCAGGATTAAAATCAGGCATGTTCTTTAGCATTCCAGTTTCAACACTGCATTGACATAAAGGATCCAATTCACTGAATAGGTAAAAACCACAACATGGGTCAAAATCCGCTCACTTTGCCCATAACTCCAGATTAACCCCACTGATTTCAGTGGGCACATTTCACTTTTACATGAGCACAGCTCAGATCAGAATCCCTCACCCAGCATGGGCATTATGAGCGGGAAAAGAGGGTTGCCCCCCACTGTACAAGTAGTTGAACTGAGTAAAGAGCCAGATTTTTAGAAGAATTTAGGCATCACATGTAGAATAGTGATAGAAATGTAGCCGTATTAGTCTGGTGTAGCTGAAACAAAATACAGGACTATGTAGCACTTTAAAGACTAACAAGATGGTTTATTAGATGATGAGCTTTCGTGGGCCAGATCCACTTCCTCAGATCAAGAAGTGGGTCTGGCCCACGAAAGCTCATCATCTAATAAACCATCTTGTTAGTCTTTAAAGTGCTACATAGTCCTGTATTTTGTTTCGGCATCACATGGGATTTTCAAGAGCGTCCAGCACCCAGATCCTCAAAGGTATTTAGGCTCTGACCTGATTTTAGTAGGAGTTAGGGGGTCTAAAAACCTTTGAGAATCTGGCTCTGGAGGTTTCACTAAATTAATTAATTCTAAGTTAATTCAAAAGTACTAGGCACTTTTGAAAATCCCAGTATGCGCCTTTCTGTATCATAAGCCACCTAAGCACTTTTAAAAATCTGCCCCGAAGAAATCTGCACAAGGCCATGCGGGAAGTCTACAGAAGGGCCGCCATGGAACCCAGAGGGCTCTGAAGGAGACAACAAGGCCTCCTGCCCCCTCCCCCAGCGAGCTCAGGGGCAGCAGGGCTGGCCAGTTAAGTACGTTTTGCATCACGCATTGGTGAAGCATGGCGCACCAAAGCCCTGAGCTTCTGCAAAGGGAAGCGTCAGCTTAAGGGGTCAGAATCTGGCCTTTGTTCCCTGCGGACCAGCCGGCTCTTTAGCTTTGCAATAGACAAGAGGAAGGGACTGTTAACTCCTTGTAGGAATGTGACTCTAACAACATTTATGCCTCTTCTCCCCCAGCTTTTGACTGGGAACTATGAGGACTTTCCAGTGAAGCGAGGGGAGGTGCGTGGGAAGGAATGCCAGCATCTGTCTATGGGGAATTATTCGGTAAAGAGGGTGGGAGGGGAAGCCGTGCTGGGTTCACACCCTGGAGTGAAAAGACTTGGAGGCGGGATGACTCCCCATAACACAACTGCAGTCATTAAAACAGACAGAGGATCTAACACTCGGCACTGGCTCCACCAATGAAGGATCACTGGAACTGGGCTTTATGTCCTGAGACAGAATTTTCAGAGGAACCTAGGGGAGTTGGGAACTCAACTGCCACAAAACTGCCCTGCAACTTGGATATTTAACTTTGAAAACCCCAGCTCAAATAAAAGACATTAAAATAAAAGAACTCACAGACACTAGGGGCTTGACTGATGAAGACGTTTAGGTGCCTTCAGATGCAAACAGGCACCTCATAGTTGCTTAACATCCAGTAGCGGCACCTCCAGCCACAGTACGGGCCCCCCACAAAAAAAGCACTGTTAACATCTATTAACTTTAAATGGGAGTTAAGCATCTAATCTGCATTGGTGCTTTCCTAAGCCTCATGAGGTGCCTTTCTGCATCCTTTGGCACCTAAATACCCGTGTTCATCCAGCCCTACCTCGCTTGCAAACCATTTCAAAGTCCAAATCAGTAAATTACACTGAAATGATCTTCCAGAGCAGCTCAAAAATGCCAGTGGGATTATGGGAACCAAGAGAGTGGAGCCGCAGCTCACTGTTCAGTCAAGCCACCAGCGCGATACACAGGCCAAAAGAGAGAAAGTCACCGGCACCTGAAACAGACAAGCATCTATTCTGATCCAAAGCCCTGTGCAAGTGTTTACTTCCTCCAGCTTGACTCACACAACACCAGGCTTGGGCTCTCTCTACTATACCTGTTCCAAATCTGCCCAGAGGGGCTCTACATGATGAAATTAGTGAGATGCTGTTTGGGTTATGGGGTTAAAATGAGGCTGCACAATCAGGGCCTAGGACTTCAATCCCTGTAAAAATAATCTTAGAAAAAGGAGCCAAGAGCTCACCAGAAAAGCAGACAGCCAGGGCATGCACTATTGTTCTACAACAGTCTGCCACTCCCAGCCTTACAAAAAGGCAATCAAGTGCCTCACTAGGAAAGACACCACAAGCAAGTGCCATCCAATGAGCACTGCATGCTACGTTATCCCTATTGTACCTGATCCATAGAGTGGGGAATCTTTCTAACTACAGAACCTGGACTTCATAGTGGCTCATGCTTCAGCTCTCTAGAGGGACCGAATTTCACCTGTTTCCCCCCTGCCGCTACAATGGCAGGCTATGCACGAGGAAGATGAAAATACGTTACATCAAAGCGGTCTCCATTTTAAAGGAAGAAGCCTTACCTGGGACTCCAGATGGTGGATTAATTTGGTAAACCACAGGTGTCTGTGCAGCAGCAAACTGCAAGAAGAATTTTGTTGTTAAATAAGCTCACTTCCCCAGCCATCCGACAAAATCAGATTAGGCTTCATTCAAAACACAGCTGGTAGCCAGCTTTTCAGACACACTTGTCGTGACTCTTGTCCTTCAAGTGCACTTCTACTCTGATGAGCGACTTTGTCAGACTCCCCCCTTCTTATCAGCAGACTTGTTCCCTGGGGCTATGTCTACACTGGTGGTTTCTTGTGCAAGAACGGCTTTTCTTGTGCAAGAACCTGCAGAGCGTCCACACGGCCCGCCCGCTCTTGGGCAAGAACATTTACAGTAAAGCTTGGGAAGAGAGGGCTTCTTGTGCAAGAGCTATGCTCTTTTCTAACAAGTGTAAGCCCTCTTGCGCAGGAGCTCTTGTGCAAGAGGGCAGTGTGGACGCTCAGCAGGGGTTTCTTGCACAAGAGAGCGTCCACACTGCCATGGATGCTCTTGTGCAAAAGCACATCTCTTGTGCAAAAGCACATGGCCGTGTGGACATGTTCTTGTACAACAGTTCCTGTGGAGGAACTCTTGCGCAAGATGTTCTTGCACGAGAACCTGCCAGTGTAGACATAGCCTAGGTGTTCTCAGAGTCAGCTCTTCTGATTTTAGTGATGACAATAGGTTTCTACTGCTGGTTACTCCTGTTAGCTCTGCTGAAGCAGCACAGAGGAGAGAGCTGCATTCCTCTCCTCCTTGTGCCTCACCAACAAAACTCTTATTAAAGTGCTAATCAGTTACACCTGGGCTTCCTCACTGAAGGCAGCCGGTCTATACAGGTGTCACCAAGGGTATGTCTAGACTACAGGGTTTTGTCGACAGAAGTTTTGTCAACAGATAGGGTACGTCTAAACTACATGGCTCCGTTGATGGAGCCATGTAGATTTGTTGTTTTGGCAAAGGCAAATGAAGCCGCGATTTAAATGATCGCAGCTTCATTTACAT